TGAAGGTTTACAGAACAAAATAGTTTCTCATTAAATAGTTAGTACACATGTTGCCCTATGACAATGGTTAACAACCCCACTACATGTCAACACTGTCCTTACTCAACCTTGGGTTCCCTATCACCAGCTTTCCTTTCCCCTTCTGCCTTCTAGTCCTTGTCCCTGCACTGCTGTACCTCATTAGTCCCGTTATGTTTTATGGAGCTGTCCAATCCCTGGCTGAATGGTAAACCTTGGAGGTGACTTCACCACTGAGCTAAAAGGGTATCTGGGCGCCATACTCTCGGGGTTTGTCCAGTCGCTTTCAGGCCAGTAAATCCGGTATTTTTTGTGTGTGTTAGAATTTTGTTCTACATCCTTCTGCAGCTTTGTCCAGAACCCTCTGTTGTGATCCTGGTCAGAGGAGTCTCTACTGGATTATTTTGAAGCAAATCTAAGATGTTGACTGGAACATTGTTTTTTTGCTGGGGGGGTATTTTTTTTTTTTTAATTGTACTTCAGGTGAAGGTTTACAGATCAAATAGTTTCTCATGAAACAGTAGTATACATATTGTTTTTGGAACTTTATTTAAAAGGTTTTTTTCACTTTAGTCTTGTAAAAAAATTTTTCAGATATAATCATAATATGTCTATATTTGGAAAGTACTACTTGAAATCATTTCAGGAGTGCAACAGTATATATCTTTTTAAATCTTGATTTTTCATTTTAATACAACTGAAATTTCATCAAATTGGCAGATAACATTTTTCTAGAGATTTTATACTCTACTGATCCCAAATTGGACATTGCACGAGAGATTTTAAAAAAAATCGAAAGCCGAAAACTATACAAGTATGTGGGTCAGACTCAGCCAATGGGACAAGAAAAGATTAAAAAGGTAAGTTGAGTTATCAAGCACCTTTCCAGTACTGAAAGGTGTCATGATCTGTGTCCTCCAAGAGAAAACCATTAACCAAGTGTGACAGCACGACACTGTACTCACCCCTTTACATTCATTCTCATTTAATCTTTACAGAATGCAGTGTTCTTAGACCTCTTTTATAGATGGGTAAACTGAGACTTGGGAGAGATTAAATAGCTCACGGAAGCACAGTTAGTGAGCCAGGATTCAAAGTCAGATCTAACTGACTCCAAACCTTTGCTCTCATCCCAGAAATGAGAAGGGGGCCTCAAATTTTGTCTAAATTTAAAGGCAGGAAAATGGATCTAAGGATGAGGGACCTCAAAATAAGGTATCTATATGACCTTCATTGATACTCTGAGGACCTATTTTTAACTACTTAATTTACTTCACAATATATCAGGTTCTCCCAATTGCACATAATCTGTCTTATATAGTTCCAGTATCCATTTTCCTGTCTTGCTGTTGAAGGTCTTTCTCTTTGCCAGAAAGCCAATGTCTTAGTTATCTTGTGCTGCTGTAACAGAAACACCACAAGTGGATGGCATTAACAAACATAAATTTATTCTCTCATAGTCTAGGAGGCTACTAGTCTAAATTCAGGATGCCAGCTCCCAGTGAGGGCTTTCTCCCTCTGTCAGTTGGGGGAAAAATCCTTGTCATCAATCTTACCTTGTCTAGGAGTTTCTCAGTGCAGGGACCAAGGACATGCTCTGTTCTCGCTGCTTCTTTCTTGGTGCCATGAGGTCTCTCTCTGCGGCTTCACTCTCCTTTTATTTCTTGTCAGATAAAAGGTTGTACAGGCCATACCCCAGGGAAACTCCCCTTACATCCGGTCAGGGCTGTGACCTGAGTAATGGTGTTGCATCTCACCCTAATGCTCTTCAACATAACCTAATCTTGCCTCATTAACCACAGACAGAGGTTAGGATTTACAACACACAGGGAAATTATATCAAATCACAAAATTAGGACAACCACATAATACTGGGATCATAGCCTAGCCAAGCTGACACATATTTTTGGGGGACACTATTCAATCCATGACAGCCAGTAACACGAGTCATACTGATAACCACATTTTACTTCGTAATACTTCCCTGGGTAATATTTTACCTCCTTTTGTTCACTAATAGGTTAATACCTGATTTTTTCAAAATATGAAAAATGTGTTATACAGATTCTCTATGTGGCTTGTTTAAAGGATGGCAAAGGCAGGAGCTATATATTTGTTAGGGTTATCTACCCATTTTTTTCTAGCATAGTGTGTCATTTTCAGAGCACGAACACCTTCATGGCGTAAACATTTAGTGATGAAAAACTTGAGTTCTGACATGAAGAGTCTTGCCTTTTCTAGGAGAACTATGAATCTCTTCCACAAGAGGTTGCTGATGCTAAACCTGGTCCTGATGTATTGCTGCAAGCTGAACTGAAGGCTGAAGATTTCATAGTGGATGTAAGTAGTTAGCCGGATAACATAATAAGACTTTTTTTTTTTTTTTATAAGATAAAGTCCCTGTCATTATAAAAGTATTACATGTTCATTATAGAAAATTGGGAAAATACAATTTTTAAATTTTCTTTGACATGTTTTATCAATATTTGTAATATAATTGTGATCACATGGCTAATACCAAAAAAAAAAAAACCAGACCCACTGCCGTTGAGTCAATTCTGACTCATAGTGACCCTGTGCCCTAAAGCAAAGATAAGATAGCAGGAAGGAGTAGAAAATCAGGACAAAAGGAAATGGGGAGAGTGCTGACACATTTTGGGGAATGAAACCAAGGCCATGAAACACTTTATGTACAAACTGTTGAATGGGTTATCTACTTTGCTCTGTAAACTTTCACCTAATGCACCAAAAAGAAAAGAAATTGCCCGCCCACACACACACACACACACACACAGAGGAAAAGACTTTGACTTCTATCTTCATAGAGGCCACATTCTCTGATGAGAATGCCAAACAGTTTTCTTCTGTTTCCTATGAGAAATTCTTTTCAGAGTTCTACTCTTCTGAAATCTCAGGACAGTGTTCCCCCTTATAGGTACAGTATGATTATAACAATGTGAAATTTTTTTATAGAAAACTGACATAAAAAAACAAACATTTTTTAAAACATTCCAGTCAATGTCTTCAAACTAATGCAGTGAGTGGAGAAGGCTAAAGATGAAACAAGACAGCATCTCATTTGTTACTTTCTTGTTGACACATCTTTGAGTGAGGGGCAATCTCTCCAGATCCATTCTTTGCCAAGGGATACAACTAATGGATTGCCCTTGGACTGAGTCTTTATTTACTTGGCTGCTGGTTGAAGTGCCTCAAATCTGCAGGGCAAGCTGCAGTTTTCTATTTCATGGAAAATTTCATTCCCCAGAATGTTTTCCCTGCACTCTCTGCCCTTGCCCTCAGTACTTTATTTCAGGGACTGTATCACTGTCAATGCAGTGGGCTACTTCTACTCAACTCCCCAGTCTGCTTTTTTTCCTAATGCACGTAGGGTCACAGTTAACTTGAAGAGGCCATGCATAGGAGAAGATACATACATGGCTGTTAGACATGAAAAGAAGTTTAACTTTACCAGTAATCAATTAAAGGCAAAGTAATGCAGCAGTGAGGTTTTATTTTATTTTTTACCATCCGACTTATAAGAACAAAAAATACTATAAAATTCTCTATTAATAAAGGTACATGAAAATGGGAGTGTAAGTTGGGGCAAGAGACCCAATTAGAAGTACATTCTAAAATTTTAATTGACCCACCAATTTCATTCTAAGGATTTGTCCTAAGGATATAATCAATTTTGTAGAAAAATTACAAATATATTTATTGTGTCATTACCATAGTTTAGAATTAGGGGGAAAAATTTATATATCTATCAACAGGGAATACGGTGGGATAATGCAAATATTAAAAGTTGTTTCTAACATGGAAAGATGCCTATAATATAATTTTAAAGAGCAGTACATACAATATGATTTTACGTACATTTCTTTAAATGTATGTGTTTATATACATGGTGTGTATGCAATGAGCATGCTGAAAACATGCTGGATATATCAATGGTAAAATGTTAACATTGTTTCTACCTGGGTGGTGGAATTGCAGGTGATTTTTTTTACAGTGAGCATGGTACAAGAGTTTCATAATCAGAAAAAATAAAACTTTGCATTTTAGTATGAGGAAAACCAAAAAACAAACTTGTTGCTGTCGAGTCGATTCTGACTCATAGTGACCCTATAGGACAGGGTAGAACTGCCCCATGGGGTTTCCAGGGAGCAGCTGGTGGATTCGAACTGCCGACTTCTTGGTTAGCAGCCAAGGTCTTAACCAGTGTGCCACCAGGGCTCCTTCCTGTATCCTGAGAAGGCAAGTAAAATTGCTAATTAAATGTCTTATTATCATACATTAGCATCACGGTTTTAGTTTGACAGTGTGCATGTATTTATGTGGTGCATTTGACCATATGTAGCTCGTTTTAGAACCGTGTATAGTAAATTTTATGACTATGTAATGGGATATAAAATGTGACTTTACTATGTAGAATTATTACAAAGATTCATAGTTGTTGGTCTGTAGCTGCTTTTTTGCTTTTGAGTCCTTGGTTAGGAATGGGATCCCCAACTATTACAAATTACCCTTCTGAGAAAATACGTTTTAGCAAGTCTGATTTAGGGAGGAGTTTCCTGTGATACATTGTGGAGAAAATAGAGATTGCCTTTTATTCATATTCTAAAGCCATGGAAATAAGTACCAAAGAGCTAATGGCACTCCTTAAAAATTGCTGAGAATTTGGTTAGTGTTCATACCTCACCATGGTGTGTCAAGGCTGCAGCACGTATCTCCCTGCATGAACAACACCCAGGAGAGAGGCCCGTGATAACACCAGCTCTGGGGTCATGGGGAGGGCTGAGCAGCTGTTCCCCTCTAGGTGAAGGGATGCAGTAGACCGCAGAGGATGGGAGAGCTGGCTGTGTACTTCAACTCCTCAGTCTCGGTCGTGGGCCACAACTGAATCCCACTGCCCACCTTTGTCTCACAGGCTAAAGGCAGTATGACTACCAAACATCATGTACCTGTTTTCTTCAGTCATCTCTCACAGTGTAAGCTCCTCTTAAAAAACCATCTGTTCCCTTCCACACCATCATCCCTAGGTTACTGTCTTTTTTCCCCCTGATTCATTTCCATAAAACCTGTCCATGGAACCTTTGGAACTTCCACTCCATAATTAACAAATTCTTCTTATCCTCAGACTCTGCCTTTACTGCAACCTGGTTGTCCCCTGAAAATCTGCTTCCTCTGCAGCCCCTTCATGAAAAGCCCATTCCTCAGGGTAAGGAGACATTCCTGGTCATCAGTCCTCCTGCTCCCTAGTACCACTTCAAGACCCTACCAAGACCCCTGTCCTCTGATGCTTTCATCCTCAAACCATACCCACCCTCTTACCATCTACTGTCCTCTTACTTGAAGATTTGCCATGGACTAGAATCTTCCTTTCCATTCTTAATTCCTGCCTTTATCCTGAGTGACTTCATAATCCACATGGCCAACCAGCTCTTTGATCTTTTCATCCTCAGTGACCTCATCCACTCCACCTCAGCCAATACTTGCTGAATATTATCAACACTGGAAATTACTCTCCCTCTAAAACTACTAATTTAAGAAACCTAGTTTCTATTCAGAGCCCTGGTGGCACAGTGGTTAAAAGATCTGCTGCTAACCAATAGTTTGGCAGTTTGAATCCACCAGCCACTCCTTGGAAACCCCATGGGGCAGTTCTACCCAGTCCTATAAGGTCACTATGAGTTGGAATCAACTTGACGGCCACAGGTTTGGTTTTTTTTTTTGTTCTCAATTCCCAAACCCCTTTCCTCCTACTTTCTTGTTCCTACCTCATCAGGACCTCCAGTTTATTGTGTTTGTCAGCGGCCTTCCATCTTTATTTCTCTCCCAATCTAACTTATAGATTCTGTGATCCATTTATTCAGTCACTTTCTGCGGTTACCCTTAACTCCCCTGCCCTTCTTTTGTATCTGCCTAACAAAAAGCCGAATGACCCCTGTGAATCTAAACTTCTCCCAGTCTGTATCTGGACAGATAAATGCTGCTGGAGAAAATCTCTGTACTGACATCTCTAGAAATTCATGGTCACTAACTTTAGCTGGGTCCTCAGTACGGCCAGCAGGCTGAGTACAGTTCTCCCAGTCTCTCAAACCCACTTCACTCCCTCAAACCTCCAACCGCCATCTGTATTCACTCTTAGTAAATTACCCAACCTGGCCTCTGATTTCAGTGGAAAACATAGGCCCTTGGGTAATAATTCCCTCAGACTCCCGCCACCAAATAAGCAAGCCTGCCTCCACCTGCAGCTGTATTGAGCCTTCCCACTGTTACCGTAGGGAAATGTCTCCTCTTATCAGAGGCTAAGGGTAATCCTTCTACTGGCTATCTGGAGCAGCACAGCACGGCCCAACAGAGCTTTTCTGTGGTGATGGAAAAGTTCTATATCTCTGCTCTCCATTTCAGTAGCCACTAGCCACATGTGGCTATTGACCGCTTGAAATGCAGCTACTGCAACTGAAGAACTAATTTTTAAAGTTGTATTTAATGTCAGTGACTTTAAAGAAAAAAAGAAAAAACCTGGCTGGTGGCCACTGCATTGGGCCGTGCAGCTGTCGAGCCCACTGCCTCATAACTTCTGTTGAATCTTACAGTCGTTTCTCGCCTCTCCCGTTTTGACTTTCCCATCAGCAGTTAAACAGGCTTTCAGCTTAAGAAAATAACAAACACCACACTCCTGTTCACTCCTCTCTTCTGCTTCAGGGTGCAACTTGTGGAAAAGTTGTCCCCACTTAGTTTTCCTAGGTACCATATCCCTCTCCCGGTACTTCTCTCTTGCCTCCTCTTAGCAACCAAACTTCAGAGAGTTAATCTTCTCTTTTTTACTTCTCGCTTACTCCTGACCCTTTTTTCTGACACCTTCACTACTAAAACTACTCTTGTCAAGATCAGTAATGACTTCTGTGTTGCTAAATCCAGCTTTCAGTCATCTGTTTCTCAGCGCTGTTTCTTCCACCTGGAATTCTTTTCTTTCCTACCTTGTTGTTAGTTGTCGAGTTCATTCTGACTCCTGGTGACTCCATGTGTGCAGAGTAGAACTGCTCCCTAGGGTTTTCAAAGCTATGATCTTTTAGAAGATCTCCAGGCGTGTCTTCCAAGGCGCATCTGGATGGATTCGAACTGCCAACCTTTCAGCTAATGGTACTTAATCGTTTGTGCCACTGAGGGACCACTTTTCCTACCTATGCTTGGTTAATTCCTACTCACTTAGTGAAGTCACTTTCACAGGAAAACATTTCCAGTTATTCCCTAACATCCCAGACTCTGTTGTTGCTATTGTGTGGTGTTGAGTCACTTCCAACTCATAACGACCCTACAGGACAAGTGGAACTGCCTCATAGGGTTTCTTAGGTTGTAATCTTCACAGGAGCAGATCGCCAGGTCTTTTCTCCTGCAGAGCTGCTGGTAGATTTGAACCACTAAACTTTCAGTTAGCAGGCCTCCTTCAGTCTCTGTTAGGTGCTGTGTTATATAGTTTCACAGCACCCTTTGCTTTTCTTTGGTAACTCTTTTAACAGATATAATTACAGTGAAACCTGTGAGGGCTGGAACTCGACAGTACTGCCTTGTTTCTCTGAGTCTCACAAGTTTTCTGTCTTTGACAGGGTGCTTGCAACTTTTCTATCACTGTCTATTAAGAATCCTACCTCATAAACACCCAATGAGTTTCCCTTTTCTGAAGGGTTTCCACCTTATACAGGTTCTGGCTTTCTCAGGTTTTACTGTATTTATTCAGTCTCAATCTAGGCTGCATGGTCTGTGGGACCTGGAACTGTATACAACATTTCTCTGTTGTATCTGTAGTGCCCAGCACAGTGTGTATCACATAGCAGGTGTTGAATATATACTTTCTTTTCCCCCAGATTTCAAAACAAAACCCTATGGGTCATGCACCAGAGTTATTTTTATTGCACTGTGAGCCACCTTAACAGTACAGTTGCTTCTGAACCTCCAGAGAGCTCTACTCGTTTTCTTGTGATGCCCCTACATCCCAAAGTCAATTCTCATGGTTATTGTGTAAGTGATCACTTATGTATTGCTTTTATTAAGGTTATCAACATGGATTACGGAATGGAAGACAAGAATCCTATTGATCACGTTCGCTTCTATTGTAAGAATGATCCCAACAAAGCAATCAGAATTACTAAAGATCAGGTAACTGCTTAGGTATAATAACAGTATATTAGTGACATTTGGCAAATCATCACAGTAAATTTGCATTTTACATGCAGGTTAGGCTCTGAAGTCAGTGCGTAAGGAAAAAAAAAAAGGCATATCTTTAAAAAAATCAAAGTGTACCTGATTTTGTGTAGAATTGACCATATTAAGAGCCAGCTTTTCCTGTTTGCTAAACATAGATGAGAACACTGTTTTTGGCATAGAGACTAGGTTATAAATCTGGTGAGAGGACGGGGCTGTATGGTTGACTTCGTGTAAGTTAAATGTGCTTATTTGCATATCTTATTATGAAAGTCTGTGGTCTATATATAATCATGTAATACAAGACTTTAGTCTTTTATTAATTGGCATAAAATCATAGGATATTTTGTAATGTGACAACTATCACAAATTCTTTTCTTTGGGTTATGATTGAGATAAAATAGCAAAACAGTGTGGTGCTTTTCATATAACAACAAGAATGCCGCTTAGGAGTTTAGGGAAAAGCTCATCTGTCTCCAGTGTGTGAATTTAAGGTGACAGTGAAATCTTTTCTTCCTTAAAAAGGTTTCACAACTTCTGCCTGAGAGATTTGCAGAGCAGCTGATTCGAGTGTACTGTAAGAAGACCGATAACAAGAGTTTGTATGCGGCACAACAACACTTTGTTCAGTGGTGCGTAATCAGAGGTTTCACCAAGCCACAGGTGGGTGGTTATTATTCACATACTTCGCACAATTTTTCATTTGTAAATTAAAAACCAAAAGAAATCCTTCATACCCTCTGAAAAGTTCTCGTTTAAATTATAGTCATTTAGTTATGGCTTTAAAAATGAAGTCTTTCGCTTTAAGCTTTCCTTTTAAAGTGTCTGAATTTGTATCTACCAGTGGTTTCTTCCTACACCAGTTGAGAGTGGGTGCTTTGTTTATCATTTTTGTCCTAATAATAAAAGATAAAAATGGTGAACATGCGAATAGTACTTTATAATGTTCTCAACAGTGTCTCATCCAGTCCTCCCAGTAGCCCTGGGAGATGGGAAATGTTTTTCTGGGAAAGTAGACCCCATCTTTTAGAGAAGGTTACTGAAGCTGAGTAGTTAAGTTGTTTAGGGCCATGTGCAACTGGTAATAAGCTTTGTAACTCATTATTTCAAACGTACTATTCCCAAACCTGGTTATTTTGGTATATTAGTACACTATTTAAATTCTCTACTAACAAGAGAATTGAGGAGAAGAGGAGCCAAGCTGTAATTGTCAACCTTGTTGAGAATATTGTTAAAATTGTACCTTATTGACTTACACATAGTAGGCGTCTGGTACGAAGAAAGTGACTGATGTTTGTTGACTGAATGAATGAGTGTAGTAGGCAGGCAGGTGGGAAGCAGCATTCTGTTCCTAGTCTAGTACTCCCTCATAATCCCATGGTTGCCTTTTTATCCGTGTGTCAGATGCTGAAGGGAACAAAAAGGAAAGGGTAGCCCAGTAAGTCCATACTTCATCAAATGCCAGAGGGAATGATACAAGTAAGTTCTGTTAGGATTCAGAGAGTTGGGAGAGCTGTAGAAAAACCTTGTGACAGAGGGAGGATTCTACCAGATCCAGAAGGCTGAATTGCATCTGGGTGCGTAGCAGGGAGAAGGGTAACATTTTTGGCAATGAGAGCAGCATGAAGGCATGAAACTAGAACAAGTTGAGTGTGTTTAGGGCACCATGAGGAGACCAGTCTAACCAGAGTGGAAAATTCTTGTTGAGTGGTGAGAGGCTAAATGGGAAAAATAGACTAGATTATGGAGAACCTTGATAATCAGCTACGAATGAGCATTGGGGAGGGAATCTTTCAGAGTATTCACGACTTACCATGCTCTACTGTAGTTACCACTTACTTGTGTGTTTGTTAAGGTCCCTGAGTGACACAAATGGTTTGCATTCAACTACTAACCTAAAGGTTGGTGGTTCTATCCCACCCAGCGGCACTGTGGAAGAAAGGCCTGGCAATCTGGTTCTGTAAAGATTACAGCCAAGAAAATCCTATGAAACAGTTTTACTCTGTAACACGTGAGGTCACCGTGAGTCAGAATCAACTCGATTGCTATGGGTTTGGTTTTGGGGGTTTCTTGTGGGTTGGGGGTGGGTGTTTATCTCCAGCGAGAGTGAGATGCATAGGAATCCGAGACTATGTCTGTCTTAGGTACTGTAACACCTAAGGAAACTAAACCACTGATTAAGAAACAAAACTCTAGTGGCAGATGAATTGGAACTTGGAGAGACTGGAAGCAGAGAGACAAGAGGCTATTAAAGTTATCAGCAGTGTGGTGATAACTGCCTGAAATTTAGGTATGTTCATAATTAACAAGTATATTTGCCAGACCCTGTGTTAAGTATATTTTCCAGGTTAGGTACAATGGATGTAACAGTACCTAAGACCACATAGTTCCTTATTCCCATGGATTTCTCTCTAGGTGGGAATAACAAACACACAAGGAAATAACAATTACATCGGCATGGTAAGTGCTCTGAGGTGGGTAGTACAGAGTCTTGGAGCAAAAAAGACTTGGTTCGTCGGGAAAGGCTTTCTTAAAGGACATAGAAGCTGAGACCTGAAACATGGGTGAGAAGGAGTTAGCTGGGTGAAAGGCACAGAGGTGCTGGGGTGTTCAGGCAGAGGCACGGTAGGGGTGTGCCAGAAGATGAGGAAGTGGTGCATTTAGAGGAGGAGCATAGAGTGGGAAGGAGACTGGGGCATTATCCATAGTCTTATAAACCAAGACCAATGGGGAGCCATTGAAGTGTTTTAAGCAGGGGAGCCACATATTGAAGTTTGCATTTATAAAATTCACTAGAGTTGAGATTAGATTGGGAAGAAATAGAGATGAGTTTGAAGACAAATACTGCTGACTTTGAGATAGATAGGTCCTCCGACTGTGGCTGTCATGGCCGCTGAATGGCTGTGTCAGTCAGATCCTGTGCTGGGTTGTTCAACAGAAGAAATTTAATATGAGAGAAGAAAGACAAAGTTTTGGCAGAGGTAAGTGAGCCAACAGAGGACAGGGAGACAACAGCATGATGCTGCTACCACCTTTAGGGTAGGAGGGACCAGGGGAGGTGATGTGAGTCCCCGAGCTGGGGCCACCTGCAGAAGCTAGAATCACAGAAGAGTCAAGGCCACTGCTGCCCGACCCAGAAATGGGTGGAGAAGTACCCTGGCTTTTCTGCCTTCCTCTTGCCTCTAATCTTCCAGCAGTGCTTCCCATTGGCCAGACCTAACTGGAAGTCAGTAAGGTTGGGAGCTAGGAAATGTAGTTTGCAGGACAGTCCCTGAGATGCAGAGTAGAACCGAGGAAGAGTGGGAAATGAATCTGAGCACAAAGAGGCAAATGAGAAGGACAGTATCTCACCACAGACATTATTTTCTTAATATAATAGAGGCTCTCAAAGATCCTATACCGTCATATAACCAAAGAGAATCTATCCACAAGCTCAAGAACAGTAAGATAGAGTCAGGCGTTAGAAAGCCTCTGCTTTCAAATCATGGTGTCACTTCACTTTGAGGCCATCCCTCACTTTGGGTGGAGGAGCTCATTTGACTGGAGCTTACTGCTGATGGGGCCAAGGTTGTAGGTTTGATTGCAGAGAAAAATTCATGTTTTACAGGTACATAGTGTCATTCCCCTTTTTTCCCATCATATAGACCTGGGCCATTTATCACAGAGAGGACCAGGCAAGAGAGGAGCAGGGGTCCAGTACAGCCCTTCTTGCTCCTGGAAAAATGGAGCAGAGTTGCGTTCTGTGAAAGGGTGTGAAGGTTGAAGGTTGTAAAACTGGGTAGTCTTAGGTACTGTTACATCCCTTGGCAGATGCTTCCAGCCGTCTTTGAAAAGAAGAAGTCTGATGGCTTTTGCCATGAAGGCTGTTACTGTTTAGGACTGTGGTGTTTCTAATTTGAGCCAAGCCCAGGACATATATATGATTTGGGGTTTCTCAAGAGTAAGTATGTCTAGAAGCAAACTATCTGCAAGAGAAAGGCATGTGTACTGAGACCTTTACTTAGAAATAAAATGAGTAACTGGCTTTTCTCTATTTCCCACTTTTCTCTCTCTTCCTTTTAGGATGGCGATGTTATAGCCCCACTCATAACACCTCGAAAACAGCAGTGGAATTGCCCAGATTTAGCCCAGAGTTCAACTCATCACCAAGAAGCGCCCAAACCAAGAGTCCGGCTTTTTAAGGATTGACCCTGTGTGAAATGTGACAAAAAGCCCTCTCTCCCCAACACCATTAATTTAGAGACTTTGATCAGAGTCCCACAAATTTAGTGACAACTAGGGCTTTTTATTTTATATTTTGAATGTACACACATGCTGTAGCTAAGTAATTTTTTATTCAAAGAAACATTAAGTATTAGGTAAATCTTGCTATACGTGCTGTGAAAAGTATAGCCTTGCTTATTTTTAATATTAATTAAAACCTTTCTCCTTTAGTAGTCTATTTTCTTAGAATACCCACTCTTTTATATACTCTGAACTCTTATGACAAATGATTGTTTGTTTTTCTTTTTTTAAGATCTGGAAATGAGACAAGGGTACACATTGGAATTTGAAACTGGAATTGTCATGAACAGCCTTGGTTAAACATAAAATCCTAACCCCCAAATGTAAGGATAACCAAAACACATTGTCATCAGCTCAATTCCAATGCATAGCAACCCTATAGGACAGAGCAGAACTGCCCCATAGGGTTTCCAAGGCTGTAAATCTTTACAGAAGCAGCCTGCCACATCTTTCTCCTGTGGAGAGGCTGATAGGTTCTAACCTTTCAATGAGCAGCCAGAGTGCTTAACCAGTGTGCCACCAGGGCTCCATAAATGTGAGGATAGCCCTCCTTATGTCATCTAAAGGTAAGTGAAAGGCGCCTTTCCTCACCCTTTTCACCCCTTATTGCACTGCCAGGTTGGGGTAAACAGCAGGAGATGAGGTCTAGGAGTGGGCTCCAGCCCTTTCCTGAGAGGCCCGATTAAGTTATTCAGAAGATGTACAGGCTCTGGCCTCTTCTTGAGTGAGACGTAGAACACCTTTGGAAGCCTCAGTGGCAGAGGGACCCCCTGGACCTGGCTGCTCTCTGGGTCAGTTGCGGTTCCAGACCCAGGCAGTTTCTTTCTTTCTTTGCTGACTACTCACTGCCCAAGTTCCTAGGGCTTTACCTCTGACCTCCCTTCTGTAACTCCCTTGTGAGTAGATCAGAGGTCATCACAGGAACATTCCTTAGGGCCTACTCAGAGTTGGGACTTCATTTTTGCTATTTCAGTGCATTTTATGGGTGTCAGAGCAAAGACTGCGGTGCCTATGCTGAGATTAGTGCTTACCCAGTGAATTCCGTGTTCCCCGTGTAACTTTATTTTTCTAACACTTTCTCTTTACCTCCAGCAGTGGAGTAAGCACTACCATGGTTGAGCACTAATTCACTCTGCCAAGGCAACCTCCTCACATCCCTAGTTCTGCAGAAGTTCACCAAGGACAAAGACTGGGGTTAGAGCCCAAGCTGGTGATGTTCAGAGGGTCTTGAAGATGCAGGGCAGTGGGGGATGGAAGCTATAGGCCCCTAACATCTTATCCTTTGACACGCCCTTGACAAAAGCCTCCCTGATAGGTTAGGAGTAAGGAAGCAGCCAGCATAAGCAGGAGGAACCCAGGCCACAGGCCAGGTTAACCATGGAGGGTTGGGAGTCCTCTTGCCTTCTATTGTATAACCAGGTTCTGTTCGGTTGACACTAGGATGAAAGTATTTGAATGTCTCCTATCTTGTATTACCCCTCCCCCCATCCCTCATTAGACTATTAAAGTTTAACCATAATCCATAGGAGAATAGTTGAAACCCTTCTTCCCCCACCCCCACAGTGATGCTATACAGATGGCATATCATTCACATGTGGGCTTATAGAAGCACAAGTGAGATTGGCCAAGATACTGGGTGCTGGTGTCATGGCTGTCCTAGCCAAAGACCTCTAAAACATCTAAGGGGAGAACTACAGGTCTCAGACTTCGTGTGCCCAGACCCAAGGTCAAGAATGTAATTTTTTTTTGTGCTAAGATTGCTTAATTTTTGCATATCCTACCTTTAAATCATTGTGGTTTACTCTGGAATCTTGTAGTCCCAATATTGTATCATTGTGCTCTGAGAAACAACTTGAATCTGTTTTGTTTGCCTCTTTTGTTACAAATAAGGCAGCTGCACTTTATGCTCTTTGCAACTGTTGTGATTATGATAACTGTGTACCATTCACAAGGTTGAATTTTTCTTAAGAAACATCTTCACTATGTGTATAAAAAGGGAAGCTTTAACAGCTTAGCCTCTGGAGTTACTGAACATTGTCACCTTGAGAATGTAAAGGAACTGCAAGTTAAAATGACTGGTTACTTCAGTTGGGTGAGGGAAACAGCTGCAATAAAGCTTTGTGAGTGTATCTCCATCTTGAAACCCGAGGTGTTCTCCTTAGTGACCCTCTCGCACTGGTTTTGTGCCCAATTTTGACCCTTTGTGCAAAGGAAATGAATGTTTCTTAGTAACTCAACACTGTGTTGGGTCTGCAAGAGGGATTGATATTTAACTGGGTTCATGTTATTCAGTTTTCCTTGTTCAGTAGCTACCAAATGATGGCATAATAAAGAATCCTTTTCTTCTGGCAGGAGGCAGACACTTGCCTGGGAAGGATATGGATTTTTCTTAGTTTTTTAAGCTCCAATTGTGCCAGGAAACATACTCCTTTCTTCCTTTTAGCTTCCTTAAGGTTCCCATCTACAGAGGTTTCAAATTCTTTATCCAGATACGCACATTGCTTATTTGCGGCTTTCAAATCTTCCTCGTGAAATTAAAGGAGACAATGGATTTGCAAGCACTTGGCACACCAGTGATGGACAGAAAGCCCTCAGTGTCCTAGAAAACACAACAGAGCAAGAGGAGGAATGATGCTAATAGAGTCTTTATTAGTTTGGTTGAGCCCAGGTTTCTGTGGTTTGACAATACTCTTTAAGCTAAAATAATTTCCAGAACATGTATAGACTCCCATTTTTGTAACAAAAAATACGTATCTGTGCGAAACTGTCTGGAAGGATATACTTGAAAGTTTTAGTGTTTTTTGGGGGGCGAGGTGGTGATTAAATTTTAGGCAATTTTATTTGTTTTTTTATGTCTTCTGAGTGTTCTGCGATAAGCATGCATTAATTGTATAATTTCTAAAAAGGTGATTTTCATGAGGGGCTTTGACCTTTTAGGTGAGGTACCTTTTACTCCTTCAAAGTCACGTCTCCCGGATAGCAAAGTCACCTCTTCCTGCCTCCATTCCAGTCTTAGGTCCCCAGACCACAGCAAAGCTGGCAAACAGCTACAGTCAGTGCTAGGAGGCTTCACCATCCTTGTTTCCGACAAAATAGGCTACCCCCGGCTGCCTGTGTGAGGAAGGCCTAGAGGGCATCCATGAGCCTGTTGAATACCTGTTACCACAGGAAGCTGCCCACCCCCAGGACATCAGCTTAGTATCCAGGCCTCCAGCTCCTTGACGCAGAACTGCTCTTGCCGGGCCAGCACCTCATTGTCGAAGGTCGCACACGGGTGGCTTCCTCCATGATACAAGTCTCCGTCCAACCACAGCCCAAACTCGCCACTGAGGAGAAGAGGAAAATCTTGGTATGGCTCACTGCTAGGTGTTGAGACCTTTCAGATCTACCATGACTGCAGCCTACTTTTACCTGTTCCAGCTTCCCTTAAACTGATTCATCCTGAATTGTTGGAGACTCAGCATGGAGTTTACTGCAGGGCTTAGGGTTGAGAACTTTTTTAAAAAAAACAAAACAAATGATTTTAACAAATATATAAAGTGGTGCAAACATCACCACAGTCTAGTTTTGGAACATTTTTAAGACAGCAGTGTTTAACCAAAGGAATGAGTCCCACAGGTGTGGACTCTGAGAGCCCAAAACACTTGAGAGAGCCTTCCTTCTATACCGCTCGTTTGATAAAAAAGCTAGGCTGGAGCCAGGAAGTGAATTACTGCAAATCAGCAATCAAGCTGCCTCTCACTAGGAGGTTTTCAGGGGGTTGGGAGAGCAAAGAACTTGCCTGGTACTAATCAAGCAATGCTTTCATCTTCACCCTCAGGGGAAGACTTATTCTCCATGAATCTGAAGGTCACACCAGGGGTGAGACTAATCTTTTCTTCCTAACCAACTCCACATCCTCCCCCCGTGCACACACACAAAGGCAGGATTCCTGGGCAGACGCCCTTCTTCCTCCATGAGTTGTGGATTGCAGGGCTGTTTGGGTAGCTTGAAGCTTGCCTATCCCATTACTCTCTAGTCTTATCCATCCTTAAGGAATTCCATTCCCAAAATTATATAAATTCAGATTAAGTTGTCACCAACTGCAAACACTTTAGTGGAAAAGTTCATGCCATCCTTCCCCTCAGTGTTGACTTAGAGCAAGGCTGAGGGGGTTGGATGGGGGAGTGGGCAGCGGTGGGGGTGTTGAAAGGAGGGGCCTGAAAGTTAACCACCACCTTCCCCATTTTGCCTGAGGCAGCCTAAGCCAGCATGTTGGGAGAGGGGAAGGGACTAGAAGACAGACCACCCCAAGACTTGGGGAAACTTGAGACACGTACCTGCCACTGCCCATCATCAGTAAATCCAAGTCTCCTTTCACAAAGAAAGAGTTGCTTCCTGTCCACTTAAACACCTAGCATGATAGGAAAAGGCTCAGGTTACTGGGTGAGTCCGGCCCTTGCAGTTTGACTCCAGACCACTGGGTGGCAGTGTTGTGGCAGGAACAGCATCCAGGTCCCAGCTAAGCCAGCCGCAGGAGGTACTCTGGGCTCTGGGTGCCTCACATTTCTATTTTCATTACCCTTGGAGTTCACCTCAAGCCCTCCAGTCTGAATTCCCACAGTCTAGAAGCCCCTTAGTTCTAGGGATAGACCAAAAACCTCAGAGGCTTCCTGCTTCCAAAGCTGGAGAGAGGAGAGGAAAGGTCTATTGGGACCTGATTTGACCATTAACTAAGCATCTCCTCATCTCTCACTGAAGGTAATACAAAGTTAGCCAGCCCTCACATCCAGTTTGCCAGCAAGCCCTGTGGGTTCTACCACCAAAGATATATCCTGACTATCACCATTTCTGTCCTGTCCATTTCATCCCACTTAGACCACCCAACCCAAGCCCCAATCATTCCTTGCCTGGCTGACAGCCTCCTAACTGGTCTCCCTGCTTGTACTGTGTCCTGCCCCTAGCCCATCGTCACTGCAATCTAAATCAAAATCAGATCATGTCTCTCCTCTGCCTAAAGCCCTCCAATGGATTCCCATGGCGAATGGAATAAAACCTAACTTCTTACTATAATTAAAAACCCCGCCTGCTCTGATCCCTGCTTTTCTAATTTTTTTCTACCCCTTATTGACTGCACTTCATCTCCACTGGCCTTGCTATCCCTGAGTCACCCCAAACTAATTCCTGCTTTAGGACCTTTATGCTTGCTGATACTTCTGCCCAGAATACCCTTCCCCCAGATCTTCAAACAGCTGACTGCTCATCTTTCAGCCCAGATGTCCTCTTAAGAGAAATTCCCTTGACCACCGTATCTAAAGTAGCCCTTCCACCCAGACAGTGTTTTATTTTCAACAGTTACCATTCTTTGAGATAATTCTATTTATGTGTTGATGTGCCATTGTTTCTTCTACTAAAATGTAAGCTCAGTGATGCTGTCTTGATTTCTGGCTATATTCTTAGCACATGAAGGCAGAGTGTATACATAGTTGTTAAATTAAAATATTCAAGAGTCAAATTAGACAATAAAAGGAATTGTAAAGAGTGACAAAAGTATAGTGTATTATTGCCTGTTATTAGTTGCAAAAATGCAAGTAACCAAAGGGTTTTCAGCAAGAAAATGACTAATAAAAGACAAGTCTTGGGAAAATTCTAAAACACTGCTGAAAGAGATTAAAGAAGATTTAAATAAATGGAAAGGTGTTCCATGTTCATGGATTAGAAGACTTAATAATGTCAAGATGTCAGTACTACCCAAAGTGATCTATAGATTCAACTCAATTCCAATGAAAATTCCAACAATCTTCTCTACAGAAATGGAAAAACCAATCTTCAACTTTATATGGAATGGCAAGAGGCCCTGAATAGCTAAAGCATGTTGAAGAACAAAGTAGGAGGACTCACACTTCCTGATTTTAAAACATATTATACAGCTACAGTATACAGCCTGGTACTGGTATAACAATAGACACATTGACCAATGGAATAGAATTGAGAGCCCAGAAATAAACCCACACATCTATGGTGAACTGATTTTTGACAAGGGTGCTGAGTGCATTCGATGGGGAAAGAAGAGTCTCTTCGATAAATGGTGTTGGGAAAATTGAATTTCCACATGCAGAAAAATGAAACAGGATCCAGGCTACACACCATACACAAAAACAAATACAAAATGGATTAAGAACCTAAATGTGCAAACTAAAACCATAAAATTCTTAGAAGAAAATGCAGGGACATCACTATCGGGCCTAGCTGTTAACAATGGATTATCTAATATAATAACAAAAGCACAAACAACATAAAACAAAATAAATAAATTGAACCTCATAAAAATTAAAAACTTTTGTTCATCGAAGACTTTACAAAAAAAAAAGTGAAAAGACAATCTTACCAACTGGGAAAACCATATATTCAATAAGAATTTAATAACCAAAATATACCTAAAACTTCAACAACTTAACAGCAAAAAGACAAATAACCCAATCATAAAATAGACAAATGCCTTGAATAGACATTTTACCAAAGAGGGCATTCAAATGGCCACCAAACATGTGAAAAGATGCTCAACATCATCAGCCATCAGAGAGATGCAAATCAAAACCACAATGAGATACCATTTCACTTCCACTAGGTTGGCCAAGATTAAAAAAACAGAAAATAACAAATGTTGGCAAGGATGGGGGGAAATTGGAACACTTATCCACTGCAGGTGGGAATGCAAAATGGTATAACCATTGTGGCAAACAGTGTGGCGGTTCCTCAAAAAACTAAAAATAGAACTACCATAAACAAAAAAAAACCATTGCCGTCAAGTCATTTCTGACTCATAGTGACCCTGTAGGACAGAGTAGAACTGCACCATAGGGTTTCCAAGGAGTGGCTGGTGGATTCGAACTGCTGACCTTTTGGTTAACAGCCAAACGTTTAACCACTGCACCAACAGGGCCCCAGAACTACCATATGACCCAGCATTTCCACTCCTGGGTATATACCCAGAAGACTTGAAAGCAGAGACTTAAACAAATACTTGTACACCAGTGTTCAATTCAGCAGTATTCACAATAGCCAAAATGTTGAAACAACTTAAATGCCCATCAACAGATGAAAGGATAAACAAAGTGTGATACATATATACAACGGAATTCTACGCAGTCAGTAAGAGAAATGAAGTCTTGATTCATTCTACGATATGGATGGAGCTTGAAGACATTATGCTGAGTGAAATAAGTCAATCACAAAGTCAATCACAAAAGGACAAATATTATATGACCTCACTTACATAAAAAGATAAGAAAAGGCAAATGTATAGAGACCACAGTTTATTGGTGGTTACCAGGGGCAGAAGGGTGGAGAAACAAAGCTTATGAGTGGCCATCCAAGACACAACAATTGGTCTCTATTTGCCTGGAGCAACACAGGAAGAAGAAGAGTCAGAAATATTGTTGTTACTGTTGAGGTAGATCCTACTCACAGCGACTTTATGTATAATGGAATGGAATGTTGCCTGGTCCTGTGCTATTCTCACAATAGTTGCTATATTTGAGCCCATTGTTGTAACCACTGTATCAGTCCATCTCATTGAGAGTCTTCCTCTTTTTTGCTGACCCTCAGGAATAAGAGGAGAAAATGGAATGTGTTGGCTAATTGTCTCCATGATCAACTGCCTCCTTTGCCATGAGACCCAGAGAACTGGATGGTGCCTGGCTACCATTACTGAACATTTTGATCAAAGACTCTATAGAAGAATCCTGTTTGAAAGCGGGAAAATGTAGACAGAATTTCAAATTTTCATGGGATCCACATTTTCTGGAGCCATAGAGGCTGGATGAATCTCCAAAACTATTGACCTAAGATAAGCTTTAAACCTTAAACCAAAAATATCTCCTAAAGTCTTCTTAAAACCAAACAGTAGTTTAGGTTAACTAGTAAAGAATGTCTGCTTTGGTCATTATGCTCTTTTAAGATCTATCTATATGGGATCAAATTGACAACAGCAATTCAAAAGATTACATAGGAAGCTTAGGAAGCAGTGAGTTTATGTTAATGGGGAAGGAACAACTTAGAAAAGGAGGATGAGAATGGTTGCACAACTCGAACAATGTAATCAATGTCACTGAATTGTACATGTAGAAACGGTTGAATTGGTGTATGTTTTGCTGTGTGTATTATCAACAACAACAAAAAAAGACCAAGTTCATGATGCTGCTTGGTATGGTGATTGAGGAACTGCTGTGAATTAATGAAGAACACAAGAAATACCAAACACCAAAGATGGGTAAGAATTAACCAGTTTCTGAAACGATGGATTCCACAACTATAGGCTGGGAAGACAGACAGCAATCCCCTGAAAAACTCATTCATCTTATTCAACAAATATTTTTGAGCACTTATGTACCAGGCACTGTTTTAGGCACTGCGTAGAATGTTGAACACAATAGCCTCAACAGACTAGTGGGAGGAGGCAGATAATAAATAAGCAAAATAAATAGTATGTTAGATGATGATAGAGGTCTCTAGGTGGTACAAATGGTTAGTGCTCAACTACTAACCTAAAGGTTGGTGTCACAGAAGAAAGGCCTGGGAATCTGCTTACATAAAGATTATAGCCAAGAAAACTCTGGTGCAGTTGTACTCTGTAACATATGGGGTCGCCATAAGTCAAAATAGGCTCCACAGCAACAGGTTTTTTGGTTTTTACATGGTGATAAATGCTAAGGAGAAATATAAAGCAGAGAAAGCAAAAGATTTCCAGGGGATGGGGTATCGTAATTTTAAATCTGGTAGTCAGGGAAGGCCTCACTGAGATGGTGGCATTGGAACAGAGTCCTGAAGGAGGTGAGAAATGAGCTGTATGGAGATCCAATGGAAGGGTATGCTAAGTAAAAGAGTAAGTGCAAAGGCCCTGAGGTAAGAGCAGATCTGCATGTTTGAGGACCAGCTAGGAGGCCAGGGTAGCAGGAGCAGAGTGAGAAAAAGGGAAAAGTAGCAAGAGATAACATGAGAGAGAGGCCAGAAGGTGTAAGGACTTTTAGGTCATTTTAAGGACTTTGACTAGGACTTTGACTTTTAACTGACTGAGAAAGAAAATCATTGGCGACTTGGAGCAGAGGAGTGACATGATCTGACTTACCTTTTAAAAAGATCACTCCAGTTGCAGCGGATGACTGAAAGTGGAAGCAGGAAGATCCATTAGGATATAGCAGGAACACAGGCAAGTAATGATCGTGGCTTGAACCAGGGTGGCAGTAAAGGACATGGTGAGAAGTGGTGGATTCTGGATATAGAGAGAAAGAAAAGGCAGAGTTGTCAGGATTCACTGACAGCTCAGATGTAGGGGTGAGAGAAAGAGGAATTAAGGAGGACGCCGAGATTTTTGGTCTCAGCAGCAGGAACGATGGAGATGCTGTTAACTTTAATGTTGAAGACAGCAGCAGACAGGAGGAGCAGATTTTGTGGGGGAAAGTCAGGATCTTAGTTTTGGACATGTTATGTTTGAGATGACATGTTTGAGATCCAAGTGGAGACCTTGAGTAGCAGTTGGATATATATGAGTTTGGAGTCCAGGGAAGAAACAACAGCACATGGGTGGCCTAGAGAATGGACGAGACCACTAAAGAAGTGAGAGTGGTTAGAGAAGAGACAAGGGCTAAAAACTGAGCGTTGGGACCCCCTTACATGAAAAGGTTGAGATAATGAGGAGGAAACAGCAAAGGATTCTGACAAAGAGTTGTCATTACAGTGGGAATTTTAGAATTGTAGTATGTGAACGTAGGAAGCCTGTGGTGATGACTAGTACCCAGCTTTGGTTCACGATGAATAACTGACCCCTTTCTTGTTCCCTAATAAGATTACCAGGCTGGCTTGATGGAGGCAATGCAATAGATATGGCATGTTTTGCCTTCAGCAAGGCATTCCATAATTCCTTGTGATCTCCTTGTCATAAGAACAGATGATTGTACACTTGGATTTATCAGTAGGTTTCTTGGTCTGTGGACTGGTGTCAATTGGAGAGGTCTCTAATAGCAAACCAAGGCACCTGGAACTAGTTCTTCACCCATTGAACAAACAAATCTTTCTTGAGGGCATGTTATGCCAGTGCAAAGGGATATGCCCTAACTCACACACTCTGATGCCCTACCTCACACACTATGACCTCCATCCCCTACACTGATCTACTTGGCCTTCCAAATGATGCCTGTTCTCCTCCAGTTTCTGTTCCTGTGCACATGCTCTTTGTCAGCTGGTGATTACCTATTTGTCCCTCAGGACGGCATAAGAAGGTGCTCTTCCAGGAAGTCTTCCTTGTTCTCCTAACCCCTATCTGATATAGATGCCCCTCCTCTGTGCTTCTGGATCCCATGTTTAATTTCTTTAACAGCACTTATGACTCATTCTGTGTTGTGATTGTCTTTCTCCTCCCGTAGCATGGGAGCATCTCAAGGCAGGGACCCTCTGTAGTTTAGAGACATGGTATAGAGCTGTGGCTACAAGCTCAGGTTCTGGGCCAGACTGCCTATTTCCACATCTCGTCCTCATCACTGACTAGCTGTGTGAGCTTAGGCAAGTTATTCAGCCTCTCTGTGCCTCCGTTTCCTCATCTGTAAGATGGGGATGAAAATAGTACATACCTCATAGGATTGTTTGATAATTAAATGCACTCATTTGTAAAAGTTTAAAACAGCTCCTGGCAGGCAGCTAGCTGGCTTCTGTTAGCTGCTTTTTTTTCTCAAGTGTGGTATATATATATATGTATGTGTGTGTGTGTGTGTGTGTGTGTGTGTGTGTGTATGTATATGTATATTTATATATATGAAAACATTTGCCATTTCAATATGTACAATTCAGTGACATTATGTTCATCGTGTTGCAACCATCGCCACTATCTGTTTCCAAATTTTTCCATTATCCTTAATAGAAATTAATGTCCCCTAAGAAAGATGCTATTATTTTATTATTAGAAGTAGTACGCTCCAGGCCAAGCACATAATGCTTAGTAGCTTTATTCATTAAATAACCCAGAGATGGAAAAACTTTGGCATGAGAGATGTTGGAGACTACTTATTCTCCTTCCTCCTTCAAAAACCCCAGCTCCTTGGCAGCTCATGCCATCTGACTATACCAGTCACTTTGTCCCTGTCACCCCCTGATCTCCTAGTCACCCCCTGATCTCCTAGTCACCCCTTGTCATTAATCAAAGAATTGAGCGCTGGTTCACTGACCTCCCCTCCTTTCCAAGCTCCTATCGTTGTCCTAAGGAGGTCTGGTGGCGCAGTGGTTTAGCGCTCAGCTCAAACCCACCAGCAGTTCCACAGGGAAAAAAGACCTGGCGATCTGCTCACATGAAGATTACAGTTTAGGAAACCCTATGGGGCAGCTCTACTCTGTCATATAGGGTCCCTGTGAGTTGGAATTGACTCAATGGCACACAACAACATCATTGTCCTTGGTGAACTTCACTGTCCACATGGATCATCCAACACCTCTCAAAGCCTCACAATGGGGGCTTTTCAGGCAGTTGGGAGAGCAAAGAACTTGCCTGGTACTAATCAAGCAATGCTTTCATCTTTGCCCTCAGGGAAAGACTTATTCTCCATGAATTTGAAGGTCACACCAGGGGTGAGATTAATCTTTTCTTCCTAACCCACTCCATCCCCACCCCCACATGCCTGTGCACACACAAAGGCAGGATTCCTGGGCAGATACTTGCCTTCCTCCCTGACTTGTGGATTTCAAGGCTGGTTGGGAAATTTGAAGCTTGCCTGTCCCGTTACTCTCTAGCCTCATCCAGCCATGAGGAATTCCATTCCCAAAGTTATATAAATTCAGATTAAGTTGTTACCAACTGTAAACACTTTGGTGGGAGAGTTCATGCCATCTTCAGTTCCTTGTCCTCTTCATCGGCAGGGGGTCTTCTGGCACTATCTCCCATGGTCACTTCCTGGAACCTGTCCTCACCAAGGATGGCAACTCCCTCCACCATCTTTCAAATACTCCTGTCTCTGTCTACCATGTCTTCTCTTCCAACATGTTACTCAACTGGTGCCACTGCTACAGTCTTTGACCTCAAGGAGACCTCCCATCCATTGAGTCTACCTTTGTCTCATTATCCTCCAGTTCCCTCTGGCTAACGTACTCTTCTTGGAAAGTGTGGGTTCTGTGGGCCATGTTGTATTTTCACTCCCTTCAAGAACCCTCAACGCCCTTTTCTGGCTTTCCCTCTGTTAAACCAGCTTGGCAAAATCCCAGTCCTGGATGAACCCTCCCATTCGCTTCCTCCATGCTCGCACCTGAGAAGCCTAGTGTTGCTGGAGAAAAGCACACAACTAAAGCAGAAGTCTTGCCTTCCAACTCACCATCTCCCACCCTCTATCTATACTGCCTTACTGTCCTTCTGCCTCTCTAGTAGGCTTCCCTTCCCCACTCCCGGGATGACCGTTTGATACCTTCTCTCCCCTCAAGCTTTCACACCCCTGCTGCATCCTCACTCTTAGCTGATGATCTCACCCAGTGCTTCATTAAAAAATCAAAGCTATTAGACCTGTGCTGCTTCAACTTCCTACCACCAAACCCTCAGGTCTACCTGCACTTGGGCCCCCTTGTCTTTCCAGCCAGTGTTGGGTAAGCAACATCCCTCCCCCCTCTCAGAGCCAGTCATTGGTTGCCAGGGGCCTAATGAGCCTTTTTTTTTTTTTTTTTTTTTTTTGAGTGAAGATAGGCAAGTCAAGGGAGATGCTCTGCTGGCCACTGCCCTGCTGCATGCCCCCTGTGGAAAGATAGAGGGATGCCAGACAGTCCACCATGGCAGATGAAGCTGGGGGCCACTGAGACCCTGGGAGCTTTGTCCTACTACAGGTCCCATTCTCCCCAATTACCTTTAGCTGTGGGGAAAAGGAGAAGAGGAATGTCTCGCCGGTGCCATAGAAGCCTTTACTCAGTCGGATAGCTGAGGAGGAGAAGGCCCCAAACATCTGGAAGACAGAAGAGCTTGCAGTTTGCAGCTGAAAGGAAATCATGGAGGAGGGGTTGCTCTGGCAACCTCCACTCTCCAGGCTTGGTATGTAGACCTATCCTAGTGGGGCCCTGCCTAGGGAACCCAGGCAGAGCTGGGGGACTGGGAAGGCTCTGCGGACACATCAGCATGCATCCTTCCCTTAACACTCCCCAAGGAAGAACTCTTGTTGGCATCCTCCTCCAGGCCTTCAAGTCCTTCCTACTTTTTTCTTAAATGTACTTACTTTCTACACGTAAACCTTGTAGAAAAATTAGAAGTTATAGACAAGCAGAAAGAAAATAATCAAGTCATTCTGAATTCCCCTCTTCCTTCCCAGGATAACTGCTTTTAACATGTTGGTGCATTTTCTTCCAGCATCTGTTTAAAGCCAGTGTATATAAATTTTTATTAAGAAATGAGACAGTATATATATCTGTTTTGTAAGCTATTTTGTCCTAACTTTTTATTATGAAAATTTCAAACACACAGAAAAGTTAAAAGCACAGTACACATACCTTCCACCTAGGTTCAACAATTGTAAATGTTTTTGACATATTTGTTATATCTCTCTGTTCATATATTTTTTCTGGCCCACTTGAAAGTAAGTTGCAAACACTGTGACCCTTCACCCTTAAATAGTTCAGGTCCTAAGAATAGGGACTTACTCCTATATAAACAAAATACCATGGTCACGCCTAAGAAAATTAACAATAATTCCGTAATATTAGCTAATATCTACTTCATATCCCATTTTCTCCAGTTGTCCAAAGAGTTTCCTTTATTTATATCCCACTTGAAAAACAAAAAGTTAACACTTTCAATAGCTATGGTTCTACACCATTATTTTTCTTGCCTGCTCAGTATTTCACCATGTGGAAGGGCCGTAATTTATTTAGCCAGTCTCCTCCTGTGGTGGGATAGTTAGGTGGCCTGCAGTTTTTCACTGTTATAAACTATGCTGAGTGGTAGAGGTGTGATCACTGGGGATTGGTTATGGGGAGTTAGGTTTTGGCTTTAGTATAAAGAGAAACTTCTTCATAGTCAGATGTTTTACCATCGGGGAGCTCTGTCCAGCCGGAGTGAGCTCCCCTTGAGGGGGAGGTCCTTCCATCAGCATCTTGAGGAGGGACCTCCTGCCCTAGTGTGGAGGGGCCCTTGGGGCCCTGAGATGTCTCCCAGCTCTAACGTGCTCCTTACACAGAAGAGCATTTGAAACCAGCTTCCAACCTTCCCCACTTCCTGGAGAGCCTGCCTGGAAAGCCAGCAGTGGAGAGACCAAATGGACTTAGGGCATTGCCTCCTCAAGGCTCCTCATGTAAAATGCGGGAGCGGCTAAGACTGCCTTTTCCCTGGTCTTCTGCTTCCCTTCTTGCCCTCTCCAGAGATTCTTCTGTCACCAACTGAACGTCAGGCCATTGATCCCCTGATTAAAATCCCTCCACAGTGCCCTGTGCTTCTGAGGATAAAGATGCAAACTTTTACATTTATGGTCAGATGATTACAGTGAAAACTGTGAGAGCCAGAACTTGATGGGACTGCCTTGTTTTTCCGGGTCTTGCAAGTTTTCTACCTTTGACAGGGTGCAGTCTTACCACTTTTCTATCACTCTCTATTACTGGAAAATATTTGAGTTTTCTGACAGGTTTCCACCTCACACAGGTTCTGGCTTTCGCAGGTTTTACTGTATTTGCTTAATGTCTGACCTCCTTACCCCATAGACCATTAGAACTCCAAGAAGGCTGAAACTACTTCTGTTTTGATCCTTCTCTATTCCAAGTCTAGCCTGGCACATACCAAAAAAAACAAACAAACAAACTCAAACCCATTGCCATCAAGTCGATTCTGACTCATGGCGACCCCATGTGTTACACAGTAGAACTGAGCTCCATGGGGTTTTCTTGGCTGTAATTTGTATAGAAGCAGATCGCCCGGACTTTCTCCCATGGAGCTGCTGGGTGGGTTAGAACCACCTACCTTTAGGTTAGCAGCCAATCACAAATCACTTGTGCCACCACATAGAAGGCACTTAATATGCATGTGTTGAATGAATGAGTGAGTGGTGAATGAATGAGTGACTAAGGGAATGGCACTGAGCAGGGTAGGTCTCAATGCTATCATCAGTGTCTATGATAGATACCTTAGTTTATCACCTCTGCCCTCTCATCCCTGAGGCTGCCCTGGGCAGGACCTACCGGTATCTGGTTGGGAGGCCCTGAGCCTCAGGTTGGGGGCCTTGGCCCAGCTCACCTGCCCATCCTGGTCCCTCAGCACTAGCAGCACTGGTCCACCGTGGCCTTCCATCTGCCGGTACAGCCTCCGCAGACTGAAGCCGTCCCTCGCCGTGCAGAAGGCCAGACTCCAGGAGTGTCCAGTGACTCTCGCGGGGAGGTGGGGGCTGAGCTGGGGACAGGCCTAGAGGTGAGCAGGGGAATCCTCCTCCTCCCACCCTTCTTCTGCTAGAACCTCAGGGGCCCAGAAAGAAGGGTTAAATAGCCACCACTCACACAGGCATGGTGCTTTACAGATTATAGAGCCGTTTCCTGTTTCCAGGGCACTTTCATGTCTGTTAGCAATAGCCAAAGGAGATAAGGTTATTGTTTCCATTTTACAGACAAGAAAACTTTGCTCAGTGAGGTGGAACAACTTGCCCAAGGCCCACATTGGGAGTAAATGGTGGAGGCAGGATTCAAACCCAGGTCTGTCTCAGGACTCTCTCCCCTTGGTTACCCTGGCCCCTAGAGGCCAGAGACTAGATGAGATGCTGACCGCCTCCTTCTGTTCCTTCCCACCTTCTCCGCATTCCCTGCCCCAGCTTTAGCTTTAGTTCCCAAGTACTGGTTCTATTTAAGAATTAACTTCTTTCATTATCTCCTTAACCTTCTGGCCTAGTGAAGAGAGTGAGGCCAGTATTACTGGACCATTCTACAAGAAAGGGAAAGAAAGTCCAGAAAGAAGGAATGATTTCCCCAAAGGAACACAGACAGGAGTGAATCCAAGCGTCCCTGGGCCTGGCTAGGGTGGAGCCCGAGGGTGGGTCCCTTAGGCCCAGGGCTGAAGTCCTTGGGTCATGGGCAGTGCCCGAACCTGCCTAATCTCCAAGGCACCCAGCAGCTGGCTGGCTTCTGCAAGCTGGGTTTCTGTGGGATCTTCAGTAGCAGGGGCTATGGCTGGGGCTGGGGCTGGTTCCTCCTCCTCTTCCTCCTCCTTTTCCTCACCCTCCTCCCCAGACAGGGCATCCTCCACCTGGCTGGGCTGTGAAGACACAAAGAGGCCTGGTAAGTCGAGGGAGAAGGAGGCACCAGCTTTCACATCTTCTGAGCCCAAGAGCCTCAGGCCACCCCACCACTCCTGGCCCAGGCCTCTGCAACCCCCAGCCCAGCCCAGGGCAGGCTGGAAACTTTCTACAGACAGACAAGACTCTGCAGCTGCCTCCAGCCTGCTCCCTCCCTTGCCCCTGGCAGCCTAGGGTCAGAGGTACCCCCCCTAAACACACACACACACACACACACACAAAGAAACGCGCGCGCAGCTCATCAGATGGGACCTGAGCCCAGTGGTTTTTCTGACTGTTTGCTCTGGATCCCAAGAGGGCCCCAGGGATCAAGTTCTAAGCTTGGGAGCAGGAGAGAAGGGTAGGTGGCAGCCCAGCCCTGTGAGCTGTGATTGTGTGTTTGTACATGAAATAATAACAACAATGATAATAGCTGAGATTGGTACAGCACATACTTAGCCTACCTGTGGTGAGTGATCTCTTTGAATTTTCCTACCAATTCTAAGAGGAATATACAGTATTTCTTATTATACTCATTTTACAAAGGAAGAAAACGAGACCCAGAGGCTTCACTGTCTGGCAGTGAAATAATCTATGTAGCCGTGTAAGCGACTGGGTGAGCAGGTTAATGTAAAACGTGCATTTGTCAGTGTGAAGGTGTGTGTTGACTGAAAGTAGAGTTGTGTAGGCAAATCAGTGTGTGAAGGTGTTGAGTGCAAGTGTGTGTGTGCATATATGTCAACATGTTTGTGTGAGTTGGGATTGTGTAAATATAAGTGTGTGTCAGTGGGCATGTATGTAGGTATATTTAGTCATTCATTCATTCTTTCATTCAACTGAGCTCTCGCTCTGTACCAGAACATGTGTTTGAGTATGTATGTGTATAAGTGCGAACATTTACACATACTCATACGTACATACACACACACAATGACTTCTGGGGCATTTCATAGGAAGGAGAGACCTCCTGGAGCATGAGATGGATAGGATCCTCTTGCCTGCCTTCCCCTATTCCCCAGGTTCAGGCCTAAAAGAGAGGGTCTCTCCTAGCTGAACTCCATCTGACAACCGCTCCAGGAAGAAGGGGACAACTCACCTGCCTACATCCAACCCCAGCCCAGGGCCCACCCAGGCCAGAGATCGTCTTCCCCCCTTTCCAGCCCTAGCCCCCGGCCCAAGCCGACGGGCCCCTTACCAGCCGAGTGTAACGCCAGCGGAGACTTTTCATTCTCCTGTCCCAGCCCAGGGCAGGCCGAGGTCAAGTCCACAGCCCTGCCAGGGGAGGAAGCATGTTGGGTGGGGCCTAGAGATGAGATGACACACCCAGCTAGCTCCTTGCCCACCTAGCTGTCCTTTGCTCCCTCACACCTGTCACTCCCAGGCTGAGTTGTGATTGGGTAGGTTTGTGAGGTTGGCTACACTTGGGGTAAGCATCTAACACACATGAGCCATACACAGTAAATTCTAGTTGTGATTCCCTTCTACCTCTTTGTCCCCTTGCAGCCTGGCCTTGAGACTGTGGCCCTGTGGGTAGATGCCTGAGCCCGAGGCTGGGGGTCTGGGCCCCCTGATTTGCTGTGTGACCTTCGATAAGCCCCTTTGCAGCCCTGGGCCTCAGTATCCCCACATGTAACACGAGAGGGTTGGACCAGCTCATCTCAGAGACCCTCACAGTACTAAAAAGCAGCAATTCAGGTCCCTCTCAAAGCCAATGAGTGCATTATAACAGAAGCTTAAAAGGGGCCATGCCTAGACCAAAGGTTATTTGTTTTTTTTTTTTAAATAATTTTATTTTTCTAATTAAAAAGTCATACATGTTAATTGTAGAAAATTTGGGAAAGGCCAGAAAAGAATAAAGAAGAAAACAAAAATACTCATAATTCCATCTCTTGGAGATTAGCACTCAACCTTTAAAGGAATTTCTTTCCAGTCTCATATTTATTTCACATACATGTGTATATACACGTTTATAAATCAATAATACCGTATAGAGCTTTAAAAACTGCTTTCCCCGTTTAACAGTAAGTGAAAATTTTCTAGTGACGTTAAGTATTTTTTGAAAACATGATTTTTAATGGTTGCGTATTATTTCATCTATTTATTCCTCTACCATTGGACATTTTGTTTGCTTCTAATCTTCTGTGTTTATAAGCAATACTATAATAAACTTCAAACTCACCCAGTAGCTCCACAGGAGAGAGACCTGGTGATCTGCTCCCGTAAAGATTACAGCCTAGAAAACCCTTTGGGGCAGTTCTACTCTGTCGTATGGGGTTGCTCTGAGTCAAAAATGGACTCAGTAGCACCTAACAACAATATAATAAACTTCCTTGTTCATAGATCTGATGATATCCTTTATGATCTATTTTAAAAGTTGAATGCTGGGTTAAAGGGCATATACATAGATAGTTCTTGATACATATTTCCCACAAGGCTTCTCTCGTGCTGAAGGTACCTGGACACAGGTCAAAAGTACCGTGTCCAGGTACCTTTAGTTCTCTCAAGGAAATATCTTTCTGATCAAGTTTTATGCCTTCAAACTACAGACAAATACACTGTGGCTGAGAAAGTAGAAGGGACTTAGCAGGGTCACAGAGCAGTATAATACCGTGGTTAAGAGCATAGGCTCTGAAGTCAGGGAGTTCAGGTCTTAGTTTTGCCACTCACTTGCTGTGTGACCTTGGGCAAGTTACTTAACATCTCTGGGCCTCAGTCTTATTTGTAAAATAGGCCTGCTGTAAGGGTAAGTGAAGATAATGCCTCAGAAGCAAGGATACTAAGCCAGATCTTTGTCCTCTTCGGTGAGGTAACCTGCTGTACCTGGTATTTGTTGAGCACAGGATAAATGACTGCGCTTATTACTAATCCTTATACTGTCTCTTCGAAAGACAGTGGCCACCAAGTCTCCACCTGGATGCCTCTGGGACAGGCAGTCTCTTAGTCACTCACAGGGGTGAAGAGCTCAGAGTGGGGAGGAAAAGGCAGAACTGTGGAAGGATGTACTCACCCTGCTGAGCCCCAGAACTCTGGCAACCTCCTCCAGCCTGCCAACACAATGGTTTCTTTATCAAGTCTCCCCAGAAAGGGTGCCACACCAAAACCGACCCTGCCCACCTGGGCCTCGGTAGGCAGCAGTTTGGCTCTGAACCTCTTCCCTGGCCCCAGGCCCTCCTCCCTGCCTCTTATAGCTGCCTGAGGGCTGCAAGCCTTGGCCCTGGGCCAGCTCTGGTTCCAGTTGGGAAAGCCTGTCAATGATTAGCATGTGTCAGGGACTCAAATCCCACAAACACACACAAACAAGACCTCATCACCCCTATGGCCCCCAGCTCTGCCCCAACCAGCCCAGAGCAGTGGAGGATACCGGGTCCTTGCTCTTATCTAGAACCTCTCGCCAGAGCTACCAGGTACCACCTGGTGTCTGAAGCCCACCAGTAAAGACGCTTCCCTTAAAGTTCAAACCTGTGGGATGCAAACACTACAGAAAAGGGTAATGCTTGCGGCATTCTCCATCAATCACCTATTCTGCAGGGGAGAAGCACAGGGCTGGGAGCTCTGCCCCTCCTGGCTGGGTGGCTGGAAGGAAACCACCCCTTCTGCCCCAGGCCTTGGTTTCCCCTCTCTCAGATGGGAGGACAACCCCTTCCTCAGTGGGCTGTTAATGACATTAGGTGAGATCATGCGCAGAAAGTCCAGTGTTTGGCACGCAGTAAGTGCTCCATCCTTGGGATTTACTTCTCTGTCCCTGGCTCATAACAGGAACCCGATGAATGCCATGTTGTTGGATCAAGAAACTCAAAGCTGGAAGGAACTTCAGCCAGTCCTAGAGCAATCTGCCCTCCAAGTGGCCACCCATCCTCTGCCTGGTCACTCCCAGGGATGAGGTGCCCACTTCCTCATGGGTGGCCCACTCATATTCATACAACTGAAGGGGACCCTGTCCTTCAGGGAGGACTTGGGTCTCCAGATACTCTGCTCATAGCTAGGTCTCCTGGGAATGCCCTTTTAGGACCTGTATTATGGGGAAAACAGGTGGGTGAAGGGCCCTGTTGCTACCACAAACACGGCTGTTGCAATATGTATTTAGGCTGTAAATGGCTCAGGAATCACACGCCTGGCCCTACCTTCTCCCCCAATCTCTCCTCTACACAATTTCCCTGTGCTCACTACCTGAGGCATTGGGCACTTTGAGAAGCAAGTGACATTTTGCCTTGATGTCCCATTCTTTGTCCTCATGTCCAGGAAACCTCAGTAAGCAACCTGGCAGGAACACCAATTGGCAAATAATAGGCTCCTCTTGAGCAGCCCCTGGGTGGCACAAATGGTACTAGCTGAAAGGTTGGGAGTTCAAACCCACCCAGAGGCACTTTGGAAGACAGTCCTGGCAATCTGCTTCCGAAAGATTACAGTCTTGAAAACCGTGTGGAGTGCAGTTCTACTCTGACACGCATGGGGTTGCCATAGTTGGAATCCGTTCAATGGCACTTAACAACAACAGACCCCTAGGGTCTTTGATAATGGAATTCTAGGCTTTAGAGTGCCTGGCATCCCAGCTCTGCCCTGTAGTTTGCCTGCTCATTTCCCCCTCACCTGACTACATGCCACCTCTTTAATTACTGTAGTCATCATTGCCAGGAAACAATCCAAATGTCCAATAAAAGGGGGAAAGTTTAGGTGACCCATGGAACATCCATTCCGTGAATTATTTCTGAGTATTAAAAGTGACATTTGCAAAGAGTTCATAAATGCATGGGAAAATGTTTCTGCTACCCTGTTGGGTGAAAAAAGCAGGATATAAAATTGTATATGCAGTATCATTTCAGCTATGCAAAACAAACTTGAAAACATAGAAAAGATGACTAGAAGGAAGGGAATAGAAGGGAGTTCCTGGGCTGACGGGCTTCACTTGGAACCTCAAATGGGTACGTAACACAACCGGACATCCTCCCACACACATCCTGGGAAGTTGGAGTTCCACTCTCTGACATCACTATTATACATGGTCTTCACTCTCCTCACAACTCTCACTCATTCACCCCCTCACTCTGAGCTGGCAACTTCATTCTTTCTTCATTGAGAAAACAGAAGCCATCATCAGTCACTTCCCCACCTTCCCACCTCCAAACCAACAGATAGAGCCACCTGCATCTTACCCATCTCCTCTGCCTTCCCTCCAGGACAAGGAGGAGAGGTCCCTGTTCCTTTCAAAGGCCAGACCCCATCCCTGGACCCATCCCTCTGCCTTCTTCAGCTATTACTTCTCTCTCCTGCTTCCTAGATCTCTGGCTTGCCCCTCCTCCCTCTTGACCTCCCAGCCCCCTCCACAACTGCTCAACCTGTCTTCTCCCTTTGCAGCCACACTTCACAAGAGAGTTGCCTATGCTCTGCCTCTACCCCCTGCTCTCTCTTCAGTCCACTCCCCTTGGCTTCTGCCCCCACCATCCCACTGAAATGGCTCCTGTCAAGGTCCCTAGCAGCCTCCACGTTGCCCAATTCAGGGAGCGCTTCTCTACTCTCATCTTCCTCGAACTTCTCAGGAGCTTGGCAGTACAGACACCTCCCTTGTTGATACACTCTACTGCCTTGGCTCCCTGACAACACATTGTCTTGGCTTCCCTCCTACCTCACTGGCCGCTTCCTCTCTGTCTTTTGTGGCTTGCTTCTCCTCTTTTAAAGTGATCAGCTGCTCACCAAAAGGTGGGTGGTTTGAAACCACCAGCAGCTCCGCAGGAGAAAGATGTGGCAGTCTGCTCCTATGGAGATTTACAGCCTTGGAAACCCTACAGGGTCACTATGAGTCGGAATCAAATCACCAGCAGTGGGTTTGGTTTTGGTTTTGGGTTTCTCCTCCTTTAGCTCCCTGCGTGGCACAAATGGTTTGCGTTCAGCTGCTAATTGAAAGGTTGGTGGTTCAAACCCACCTGGCAGTGCCTGACGACCTGCTTCTGTAAAGATTACAGCCAAGAAAAACCCTATGGAGCTTAGTTCTACTCTGTAACACATGGGGTTGTCATGAGTCAAAATCGACTCAGTGGCAACAGACTTGGGGTTTTTTGTTTGTTTTGTTTCTCCTCCTTTACCCACTTTCTAGAACCAGGAGTTCTAGGCCAACTTTTTTTCTCTATATAGACCCTTTCCCTAAGTCTCATCTTGGTCCCGTGAATTTTAATAGTGTCTAAATGCTGACAACTCTTCATGGCTTCAGACCCAACTGCTATCCTGAGCTCCACA